TTATAGGGGGTAGGGGGGAAGGAGAAGTGGGTAAAGGGGATCAAATATATGGTAGCTGAAGGAAACTGGACTTTGGGTGGTAAACACCTAATAGAATATACAGATGTCAAATGATAATGTACACCTGAAAATTATATAATTATATTAACCAATGTTATCCCAATAAACTTAATAAAAAAAAAGAATTGAAGACCTAAGAGGATTTCATTGCAAGGTATTTCTGTCATAAAGGCCCTTCTGATATGGGGTCCCAAGCACTATGGCAAGACTCCATTGTATTAGTAAAGATAGCATAATATATATATATATATGTGTGTGTGGTGTGTGTGTGTGTGTGTGTGTGTGTGTGTGTGTGTGTATATATTCACTTTTTCACAACCAATGGTTTTTCATTTTGTCAAATGTGAGCAACTTGAATTAGTTTTTAGTCAGTATGAAAACTCATGATTATACCTCATTTCTTGGATTTGAAGCAATTTGCTACACACAGTATAACTTCTTTAAAATGCAGTTGAGATGGGGCAGTATTAATACTTGTTTTATAGATTAGCTACTTCATAGTTTTTGGTCAGGCTTTTATTTATGTAATTATTTATATCAAGGAATATTATTTGACCTACGGTCTTCCAATCCTGTGTACCACTGATTCATATAACACGCTTATAATTTATAAGGAATCAGGATAATGCGATAAGCAGAAAACGTTTAGAATCAGACATATCTAATTGAAATCCAGCTTTGCAAACCCTCTCTGGCTGTGTGACCATCGATAACCTCTATGAGCCTCAGTTTCCTTACTGAACAATGGAAATAGTAACATTAGAGGGTACTTATGAGACAAAGTGAAAGTATGAATGTTAAGCGCATAGAATATTTCCTGCCATCTACTAGGGGCTTAATACATCAGTCCTCTTTTCTTTTTATATAATAACAAAAGGAAGAACAATTAAAATCTTTAGGTAGAGAACCTGGACTAATAATAACCATAAGAAGAAAGAGCTACATGGCTACCTAAATGTGTGAAAGGCCACAGAGGAAATATTAGAATCCTGAAAGCCACCATAAGGCAGAAATGACTCTAACTACCTATTGGCCTGCCTAATACCTACATCCACAAAGAGAGGCCTTGAACCCTCTATTCTGGCTGTAATCTCCAGAGTTTCCTCTGGGTAGTAGTGGTTTGCTTCTGGTTTTAAAGACAGAGTATTAAATAAGAAGCCAAAGAATCAGGCTTTGAGGCCTGGGGCATGCCATCTGCCCAGCATTAAGTAAGAACTGAATGTCAGTTACAGAAGCACAGTCATTTCTAACATGATTTATGTTCCATCCTTGAACGTGGCAGGAAGACTGCAAAAGATATTTGGAAGCCAATGCTTCCTCTGAATAAAGTAAATGAGTATCGGCTAAGCCCCTCTCCACGGACCATGCTGGCCTGTTAGATAAGTTGCCAGTGTGGAGTCTGTGAACCCTGGAGCAAACTGGCTATTTGGGATGAGAAAATATCTCAAGGCCAATGATCATTGCTACCGTAGATGTACAGTGCACAGTACAAACACTGGGGTCAGAAAACAGAGATCCAGGATATTACTCAAAAACACATCTAGCTCAAAGCTGACAAGATAATCTGTTCCTGTGAGTGCAAAGCAGACTGGAATGTTGCTGCTATGACCTACTCAAGGAAAGCAAAATGAAAGTGCAACTCTCCAAGGGCACCATCTCATGCTCTTTATGCAGGCAAAACTCCAGCAGACTTCAAAGGGAGTGTTGCCCAAGGGGGGAGTGCTGGACCGAGCCCACGGGGGGTATCATTTCCCCGATCATGTTGCCATCTACATTTGGTGGATGGGGCAAATGCAAAGAGTTCAGATACAAGTTTAAACAAATGAAAAAAGAAGTGCGAAAGAGCTTGGAGATTTGCTTGCAAAAACCCTCAGAATTCCAGGAAAAGCATTTAATATCAGGAACTTCATAAGTTATTTCAAAAGTCCCAAGAGAGTAATGAGTTTGTGATGGTGTTAAGAATAAAAATATTTTTAGTTGACACATATTGCACTCGAATGTATCACATGATCACAAAATAGTGTACTTAAAAAATAATAATTTCTCAAAGTTAGTACTCTTTAAAGGTCAGTAATATTTTTCTAACTGAAATACAGACTATATTCTGATGTTTTAACCAAGTTTTAACATACGTGATCCTGATTAACGTAGAGGAGCCAAAATGCAGCAAAGATACTTACAGGAGGACCTATATGGTGGGGGTTGGGGGAGTAGAGAAAGTAAGAAAAAGGGAGAGATGAATTAGTGAATATGCAAAATATTAAGTAAAGCATCATCACAATCAACAGCAAAATGCAAGGAACATGTGTCATTTAGAATTCAGTGATTCTTAACCTTTTGTTAGATCATGAACTCTTTGACACCTTATCAGAAAAATACATTTACATCTATATGTACACAAAATTTTTCATAAAATTTCAAGGAATGTTTGAATTCTCTGAGGCATCTTTATGAATTACTGAGATGTTCATATATCTTAAGCAAAGACTGTCTAATTTATATACCTAAAAATTTTGATAAAATATGAATCAGGAGGCTCTTTGGTCATTTATGATAGACCAGTTACAGAGAACTGATATGTATGTGTGTGTGCGCGGGCGCGCACACACACACACACACACACACTTCTTACTTGAGTTTGGTAAAATGGCTAAATCAGAAATGTACTCATTATTTGTTCTAAGAATGTTTTTCATTCAGTAATATTGTCAATATATTTTTTAAAAGCCTCAATGTTTATACAAGCTTCTTTAAAACTATGTGTTCTCATCAAAACACTGACAAAGTCTAAGAAAATTTCAACATTTCATGTACCATATGCTCAATTAAAACACCTGTTCTAAGTAGCTAGTTGGGACTTGACTTTTATATTTTCTATAAAATTCTCTATAAGCACGAAATTTTAACTTTTTCCCCCTCAATCCTCTTTCTTTTGACACAAATATCAATTTAGTGATTATTTGACTCTACCAATGTTTTATCATTTGTTTCCTCAAAACAAATTTATAAAGCACTCTCTCCTATGAAACTATGCACTTTGTAAGGGGAATACCTGTACACATACCAATTATTTGGATTCAGTGAGGTTTGATGACAACTTTTAAGAATACTCTTCAAGTAATTAAGCAGGTACACTACCCAAATTATTGAATTTTCCTAAATCTTTTCTACTTTGACATCTTTTTTCCAAAAGAGGAAAAGAGACCAAAAAAAATCAATCCACTCTGCTCTTTTCGAACAATTACTATTTCTACTGCTTCAACCTTTAGTAACTGATCATTTTTAATACTGAGAAATACTTAGAGAAAATAACATTTCTTAGTAAATGCTAGAATCAATTACCTTCCTCTTATCTTGCAAGGAAGAACTGATGGCCTGATAAGACTTCACGTGGTCAATTACATTTTCAGGGTCTTAGACTTTATAAAACAAGTAAAACAGTAAGCGAACTCACTCATTTGGATATCTTGGTTTCAAAATAATAGGTTTTATTTGACTCTTCTGTTTCACTTTACATATAGGGATTTGTCCTGAAAGCAAGAACTCACTGAAGTGGGCATCAGGACAATTGTTTGGATTTTATGTTCTGCTCATAAAAAATTATATGGCCTTGATCAAATCACTTGACTACTCTGGGTCTCCATTTCCTCAACTACAAAATGAAAATGCTGGATTGACTACTAAGTGTCCTGTCATCACTAAATTTCCATGGTTATACAAGGGGAACAAAAATTCTCAAATTTTGAAAAGAATGAGAGTAAAAGGGTGACAAAATTATACCAGTTGGCCAAAATGATAATAAAAACTTCCAAGCATGTGCCCTGGTGTCCCAACACAGATGTTTTCACAGAGAAACTGCATTTCCTGATCACCCATGAAGACAGAAGCATGAGTGATGTTGCCACACTGTGTGCAGCTAAGAATTCCCTGACTATACACTAAAAGTACAGACTCAACACAGTAAATAGGTCCCAATTGAGTGCCAGTGGTTATTAAACTGTAATTAACAATATTTTGCAAACGTCTCCTTCTTACAATTTGATGAAAATCAGAAGACAAAAAGATATTCTAGATCTAGCAAAGATTTAAACATACACATGCACACAACAACCAAAAAAATGGTATACTCATAAATTAGGAGGCACAGATGTGGGAACCTAAGCAGAACTTGAATGACACAGAGCTGCTGAAAGAGAGACTTACCAGATTCTCCTCTTCGGCCTCTCTTACCTCGTTTTCCTGGAGGGCCTGAAATACAAAGAATGATTTTTGAATTTTTGATTCCAAAATGACTAGTAAATAATTTCTATATATTTTACCACTCTTTCAAACTAACAACTTCAAAAAAAGGACCAGATATTTGTAAAGGCCAGCACCATCTTCGGTTTTTCAACGTAATTCTTAAGCTTCATTTATTTATAAAAATTGTACTAGATCTCTCACCACCTATCATGTAACTCAGGAATGCTAATGATTCAGAATTTTTGTTCATCCTGCATGGATGTCATCAATAAATAAAGGCTTTATTAAGCAAATTGGTGGTGTTGAGATTTCACGTTTCTTAGGAAAATTTCTTTTCTGAAGGTTTCAGCATATTAATAATTAAAAGTACTCTGCACAAAGGACTATGGTTTCTCTTCAGTCAGGTCCATCACGATTCTCTTGAAAATATTTAGTTGGCAGTTAGCTAAATGTACATATTAGTAATGAAAATAATCTTACAAATATTTCTATCTTATTAAATGTGAATTTTCATATATTAAAATTTCCCTAACTTAGAACCAGCTGAATTAAAATCATGACCCTTTTTATTGGAAAGGTAGTCACTATAAGCTCATTTTTCTAAGGGGCTAGCTTATTATTATCATTCAAAAATATTTAGTCTTATGATGACCCAATTTTAAAAGGGGGAAAAATCTTTTTTTTTTTTCCCAGTGAGTTGCCAGTGAAGACCACCAAGCTAGTATGTATCAGACTTAGCACAAGATTCTAAACATTCATGGCTTTCAAACTATTATTCTCAATTATATAATTTCTCCCCTCATTTCCTTGGGTAGGAATAGCTCCCACTGAATTATGGTTCCGGCAAATAGAAGAGAATAATTAGCCCATGATGAGAATTGAGGTCTTCTAATATTTGCTGGAAGAAGGAGGCCAAGGAAAATATAGAACTTCCTGGTTTTAAAGAATGAGCTGCGAAGTTGCACTGATGACTTCCAAATTCTGCAAAGTTCAAGACACAAGCAGCAAAGGCCTTAGCATCCAGCTGGCTCTCAATGTGATCCTGAGCTACTGACTTCCACATGGAAACACTATCATGAGAAATAAAAACATCAGTGGGCCAGTTAGTTTCCCCTCAAGCCCTTACACAGAGTAAGTCTGGCCATCTGTGTTTTGTAAGAGGTTAAAAACAATCAAGCAATAAAGTCAATTGAAAATATTAGGAGAAGGAGCTTTGTAGCAGAGTCCAAAAGTGTCATTAGAAATTTCAGATTACTTTCTGGATCCTGGAATAAAAAGTGGTTTTAATCACATTCAGGGTATTCTTGGCCAGATTGGGAGCAGAAGGAATATATGTAAACAAGTAAATAAACCCAATGGAACCCTAACAGATATGAAAAATATATATTTATACACACACTCAAACACACATATACAAAGATATATTTTGCCATATTCTGATATTTACAATGCCCTTATGAATAAAAATCAGGTCCACTCTAATTTAAAAAAGATTAAAAATAAGATTTTTTTCTTTTATAAAATGAATTAAACTAAGAAGATTTTAGTAGCTACTATATTTCTATGATGTCTGATCTGCATAGAGGAGTTATAGGTCATAAATAAGATGTATATTTGTCCTCGAGAGACAAAGAAATTGAAAAGATTAAGATAACACATGAAAAATTCATTAGTAGTATGTTGTGAAAATGGCACAATGAGTTTATCTTCTGATTTGTTCCTTCTACTACAAACACATGGTCCATTGTAAAAAAAAAATTTTTTTTAAACTTTAGAAGTAGTTGTATTCAAAAAGAAATGGACATGTTCATAGGCCAGAAATGGACCAGAAATGCACAATAGAGAACAGGGATAAACCATGAGCCTGCTGGGTTCCAGTTCTAGAAGTAGGAATGGTGGTTATTAGTTCAGTTCCTGAAGCATAAATGCTCCAAAGTTCTCTAACCAGAGCCAGACTCACTTCTTAAAGACAAGGGCTTAGAAACACTGAAGAAATGATGGGAAGAAAAAAAAAAAGCCCATATCCCTAGCTTAAAGGCTGAGAAATAGAGACATAATCTCCTAATCAGAAAATGAAGAAAGAATCTAATGATTTGATGCCTAATTCTATGATAGTCTCAATATAAATCTGGAACAGGAGTCCTAAAATACCATTTTAAAACAAATCTGGTCTAGAAGCCTTGGTGGTCAGGTAAAGACAAACATAATATGGTTAGGTAAGAAAGGGTTAACACAGAGAAAAGAAAGGTAGACATGCACAGAGAAAGAAAACTACACACACACACACATACCTCCTATTCCTAGTGAACATATAAACCAAAAGTCCAAAGACAAATGAAGAAATCTAATATTTAAAAAAGAGAGCACTCAATAATAAGATCGTAAATCCTTTCCAGGTAACATTAATTAATTTTAAGAAACCATCATGCAAAGGTTGGTATGTTAATTAAGCTATAAGAGAAAATTGAAGAAGTAACACCCATTGAATAGCAAGGATTTGAAATATAAACAAGGGGGGAAAAGAACAAATGGATTTGAAAGAGAACCCTTTAGAAATCCTGAAAATGAAAAATACAGTCATTAAAAAGTTTTTATAATGATAAACCAATTAAGTGCTAGCCTGGATATGGTTAAAGAAAGAATTGATGTGGAAGATGCAGAATGCAGCCCAGAGAGAGAGATCTAATATCTAATCTTCTGTCCATCCATCCATCCATCCATCCATCCATCCATCCATCCTCTATCTACTATAGTCTGAACACCCTAAAATTCACATTTTGACATTCTAACGCTCAAAGATGACGGTATTAGGAAGCAGGGCTTTGAGGAGGTGCTTAAGTCATGAGGCTGGAGCTCTCATGAATGGGATTCATGCCTTATAAAAGAGGACCCACAGAGATTCCTAGTCTATTCCACCACGTGAGGACACAGTGAGGAGCCACCAGTTGTGAACAAGGAGGAGGACCCTCAGCAGATGCAACCACGCTGGTGCCTTGATCTTAGACTTCCCAGTCTCCAGAACTAAGAGAAATAAATTTGTGTTGTTTATAAGTCATCCAATCTGTGATGTTTTGTTATAGCAGCCCAAGTGGACTAAGACACCATCTATCTATGTATCTATCTATATTAAGAAGCAAAATTTTACTTACATCAATAAGAGAATCCAAAAGAAATGATAGAGAGAGGCCTTTGTTTAAGAGATGATAGATGAGAATTTTTCAGAATCGTATATAGGAGTCCTAAGATTAAATTTATACTCTAAATGGCAAGTAAAAACAAATCACAATTAAGCACATGGAAGGAGAAATTTACGAATATTCAAAGATAAAGAGAAAATGCTAGGAACTATGAGGGAAAATTACAGTGGGAGGTTCTTTGACTACTGTCTCACCCACGACAAGGTGCCAAAGGGCCCAGTCATAATTTTTATGACAAGTCTTAGAGCTTATAATTATATTTGTTTATTAGAATTAGTTTGTCACTTCCCCTGAAGGCTTTTTAATAGTAGATTTTATCAAGTAAAACAGATTGCACAAATATTTTTAAATAGTTTAAAATAAACAAAAAATATTTCTAAAAGAAATCAGATTATGAAAAAATGAACAATATTTTTAAGAAATCAAGAAACAAAATTAGAATCTTTCTGGACATGTTTACATTAACTACTCTATCAGAAGGCTTAGAGAAATGAATCAAATGTTGTGGTAAACCTGCTTATTATATTGAGAACTGAGAAAAACAGAATCTAAGGAAAGTGAAAAGATACTGGCAAGATAGATATCTATTAAATATAACAAAGTTTTACAAAGATTTTCATAATATTTGAGAGAGAAAATGAAGCTAAACGAAGTTATGAGAAGATGAGAATCTAAACTCTATTGGATTTACAAAGAAAATACTAGATTTGAGAAGAGCATGTTAACATTACTGTAAGAAACAAGACAGGAGTAAGCATTACACTGAGCTTAGTAAACTAATAAATTATACAAAACTCCCAGTAAGACTTAAAGATCTTGCTTACAAAAAAAATAAAGAGAAGTTTTGAAGAAGTCTACTATGCAGATGAGACAATTTGATATTGCTTCTGAATTTAAGGGTAAAAATAATAAAAATGGTATGGATGGGATAAATTTGACAATGGACAGCTGGCAGATCATCAGAGTGAGAAGATGAAAAATCAGAAAAGACAAATGGTGGATGTTTCCCAGACAAAACCAAAGTTAACAACAGTTGAAAAAGATAATGGCCATTTCCACTCCAAACAGTGATGAAGTGTCAGCCAGGCACGAGCTGTACGAACAAATATAGAAGCTGGAACCTGACTCTTATTCATTGAATTTGGCCAGATCCTTGCAGCAGAAATTCTCAGTGAATTCTATCAGCAGAAAGGCACGACTCTGCAAAAGAAACTGGTTCAAGAATATAAATGGGAAGAGAAAAAGCAGAAGCTATCAGCAACAGAGGAAGTGAAAACTTACAAGCAGAGAATTCATGAAATGAAGAATAAATTATAGAAAACAGAGGGAGGCTATAAAACCAGATAGCTTTTCATGATAAGAAATTTCATGATAACCGGTACTGTTCATGCTTCAGAAAGAATTTTTGCTTGAAAGATGATGCGAACTGTCAGCTTCAGAAAGAAGTAGTAAAATTCAGCCATAATGGCAATGCTTTAACAACCAGCATCCAACAACTGTAGACCGATCAAGGTCATTAAATCACATCATAGCAAGATGTCTTAAGCCAAACCAGTTTTTTTGGCCTACAACTAATATTGCTGGAGCACTCTACACCTCAATAATGATGTATCTCCCTGTGATAAGACTCTTCTTTAAAGTTAGATATGTGCCTAGAAATAAACATATGCCTACATCTGGGCCTTCCCATGCATGGTCTTAGAGGGTGGGTGGTTATTGCAGGTTTCTAGAATACCCTTACCTGGTTTATCAGATAAATTACCAAAAACTTGTCCATTCCACTCTTATTACTTGGATCTGTTCACTCTT